TCGCAACAATCACGTACAATCGATTGCAATCGGGCATGCAGTGACCTACAGATTTTATCAAAAATAAATCATTTTGCAAATAGCGATAAACATTTACAGTATGTATCGCGTTATATTGTCATTACGTGTCCACTAATTTCAAAACAAATTTCGTTTTTTTTTTACACAATATCCTGCAATTATATTGGTTTCGATGTACAATTTTGAGATCAGAAGTGATTTTTAGTCCAGAAATTGCTTAGATTTTGTCAATAGTCATAGGTTTTGTCAATCGCCATAGGTTTTCCAATCGTCAATCCGTCAATTGGAAGTCACTTGACGAAATGGTTTCGTCTATCGTCAATTTGAAGTCACTTGACAAAATGGTTTCGTTCGTCAATTCATCAATTGAAAGTCACATGACAAATAGTTTTGTCAGTCGTCAATGATGAGAGTTTCGTCACTCATCAGGCATCACTCAAAGTTTAGGTATTGTTATACTCGAACCACCTCTAAATCGGTCCGATGTAGCTGGGCGTTAATAATAAAAAATAAATGCTTGGCTTTCAACCCTAAGTTGACCAAATGCAAGCTTTAAACAAGAGACTTTAATATGTGATTTGACTTTCGAAAGAGGCAACGGCTGTATATGAAGATACAGTTAATCGTTCAAGATAATCTAACAATAACTAAAACTGGTGATCACGATAATCACGTGATCACGATCATTAAGTTCGTTAACGGTCTAAATAACTTTTCAACTTGTGTATGAAAAAAATACACGTATCTGTATTTTATTTAGATAAGTCAGGATTTTAAATGATGATTTTATTACGGTGAAAAGTTATATTTAAATAATTTACACTATGTAACTATCAGGTTTTCTCCGTTCCATTATTTATGTTCACATATTTCAACCCTTCACCACCAATACTTTTTCCTTTACTTTGTATTGATTAGAATACTTCCCTCCTATGCAGTCACCTTGGTCAATTTTTAATCAGAACCAGTAATCGCGTATTTGAATAAGCAGCGTTTTATGATAATTGAACACTTTTTGGTCATCCGCTTATTAATCTATTCTGGAGGGTCTTTTATCCGATATGTGATATTGGATTCAATCTTTAAGTGGTTATTTCCACTTAGTAATCGAGGCAGTATAGCAATCTCTGCCTAAACAAGGGGCCCAATTCGTGTTTAAGTATCGATCACGCGTCAATTTCTATGTTTGTATACAGTCTACTCTTTCTATAACGAACCCTCGGTTCTGGCCAAAAAAAAAGTTCATTATATAGAATTACTATGTTTTCTTAATAGCCGTAGCTCTTGTTATACCGAACTAATATTAAAATTTAGAAAATTTGGGTTCATTATATCCAGAGTTCGTTATAAAAAGGTTCGTTGACTGTAAATATCTATGGTAATAAGTATACCCGTGTATAAAAAAAAATAGGTTGTACGTACGTACGTTCGTACGTACGGGTATTGAATAAAGAGTTTGGACCGAACAATGCATACAATCGCTTATCACTTGAATCACGTGATCTGGCGAACTTTAAGGAGTTCTTTAAGGCTAACAAGAGGCTGCGGCTAATTTTTTATAAAACTTTTATTTTCAATAATCGTCTATCCAATTAAATAATTTTTTTTTTAATTTAATTCTACAAATTAAAAAAATTTCACCGAATTTTAATAAGGTTTACAATTGTTTTAGTTACATGAAATCTTGTAATCTGATTGGTTGCATGGTTTCGGGTTTCGGATTTCGGGGTTTCGGATTTTTTTTAACGAATTTCGAATTACACTGTTTCCGAAACAGTTTTCGGGTAGGTTTCGTTTCGCTGCCCAACTCTAAGCTAAACCGCCTGAGTAGTGCATCGCAATTGAAATTTCTCTGATGTGCTTATAAAAAAATATACAAATTTTTCAATAGATATATTGGGAATATAGGTAGTTTCTCATAGATCTATTATTTCTGATTCTTTGATTTCAATTTTTTAATTTCAAATTTTACTGTTCTGCTGAATTGATAATCAATGATAAGCGAAGTACAGTATGTAAGTACGCACGTACGTATGTACGTACGTACGTACGTGCATACGAGATAGAAAATCTGTTGATTGTCATCATTATTGTCCTGTGTTACATAAGATCATCCTCATTCATGATTATCCATCCTCCTTCATGATTATCTTTGTCCGCTTTACGGTATTCTTTAGTGCTCAAAACGGGTTGACCCGAACAACCAGAAACTGAACTGATTATAATAAATTTATTATATTGGTCATGACCCATATTAATATAATAAATAACCAGGTTCTTTTCTGGTTGTTCGGGTAAACCCGTTCGGAGCACTAGTATTCTCCTGTACTGCATGAAGTTTGGTTCCACTTGCTTCGACAATTCCTGACAATTCATTTAGCTGACATCGCATAAGATTAGACTAAATGAGCCTTCGGTGAAATGATTGCTGAAGTAATGTTATTCGTGCTACATATCAAAAATATCTATGTCTGTACAATTTATGATAATTTAACTAACAGTTATATAATCTTATTTTTTATTTTGACGTGACGCTAAGCAGGGTAAGAAGGGGTAATGTACCCGTGAAACCAATGACAGGAATTGGACCGGATCTGCACAATTAAGTTCAGGGGCAGATGAATATAATACCTTCCATATATAGTAACCGCCAAACTTGGGATAATATTAACTATATACCTAAAATTTATTAATGTGACTATAAAAAATTTTTTATGTGCCGGGCCGAATTATATTGGTTATAGGCCTGAACAAATTTAATCCAGGCTAAATTAAACGGTTAATATGGTTAAATGATGAAATGGTTCCAATTCCTACAACTAAAATAAAGTGCACTCACCAAATAAATTTAATTCTGGTATATCAACCGGATTATTCCTTTGAACATTCTGCACTGCTTTTCGATTTACTTGAATATTGGTCAAAATTTTTTTTGAGTCCCGTGAGTTCTTTTGTTTTTTTTTTATATAAAAAATATTGTTCTTATTTCGTCCCATAATCATTGTGCTCTCACTTAACGTACGTGAAGAGCTTTATGAGCGGGTTAGCAGAGAGAGGCAGGATTTTGTCATTTGGGAAGCATAAGAGTAAAAAAAAAAAGAGGGATTCATAAGAATTTACGCCCAAAATGATTGACATCATACTATCGTACGCAGTTAATTTTGTAGAAAGAGCTACTACTGATATTAAACAACGTAATAAACGCAAATACCTACCCTATAACATGTCATAAAATATTCACCATAAAATTATATCCCCTTAAGACTACTGCATACTAGGCTATTTCTTAAATAAGACCTGAGATCATATTTATTTTACACAAAATACGTACTTGCTATAAAATTACTTGACTTTAATTTTCTACTACATTATTAAGAAAATTTAAACCCACTAGTTATTTAGCTTGAATGGTTTTATTATTCTATGGAGGAATTTTTATTTATTGTTAGTTGTGAACAGTAATTAGTATTTTGGAGTCAGTCAGGGCTAGGTTGTCTACTAGGGTTGGACATTTTGTGTAGGTTATCAAAATTTAATGTAAGTTACATTTTAGTTTATGTTAGCTACAATGTAAGGTAAGGTAAGTTATAAATTTTAAAAATTACTAGAATTACAATAAAATCTCTATAAATGCACCCCCTCGGGACCATAGTAAAAAAAAGCAAAATGTGCACTTAAAAAGTGTGCATTTATAAAGAACAAAATATATAGTGCTCTTATAAGTTGGGGCTAAGCTATGCCGTGCATTTAGAAAGAATTTACATAGAGCGTGCACTTATAGAGTGTGCACTTCGGGAGGTCTTACTGTATATAGTCATTTATGAAAAATAAAGTATCTGCAAATTCTTGCTTTTGATTGGGCATACATAATTTATCTGAGATATACGTATATATAGTGTAATTTCTGCAATCAACTATCAACTATTCAGTAATAGCAGAAACTAATAGGCAAAACACTTGGCACAGTATTGGTATTACAGTAAAACCTCTATAAGTGCACGCACTTGAAGAGAAAGTGCATTTCTAAGGGCATGTATATATTTGGGCCAGAGCTTGATAGAGAGGGTGTGCACTTATAAAGGGTGCACTTATGGAGGTTTTACTGTATATAGAACTATGTTTATTAAATATTATTAAAATTTTTATGCTTTTAAATTAGTTAAATATTATAAATTATTTATAATAATATACTAAAAATATTAATAATAAACTATTTAAATTTCAATAAATATTTAATTTAAAAAATTATATACAAATATACGTATATTTAACTTACATTTGTTAGACGTAAGTTACAGTGTAACTTACATTGTAACTTACAATGTAACTTACATTTGCCCAACCCTATTGTCTACACTGTATTGATATAAATGCGTGCGACATCTAATACAATGCAATAAATTATTGTTTATGGTACAATAATTTTTATTTATAAAATATCTCGGTTGACTTACTCTCAAAAGTAAAAAGTCCACTTTTAAACTATTCGTCATAACAACGGACAACTAAGGTTAAAAAACAACTAAAGTTCAACAATAATGTCACAATTAATTCACTTTTTAATCTTATTATTGGCTTTTAGCTGGTCTGCTTCAGCCCGTAAGTTTACTCGAATTTGATAATCATTATTATGGGGAAAATGAGGATGTTATTCACTTATCTAACTTAATTAGTTTGATAAAAAATTTCTTATAAGTAATCCTAAACGAAAAGAAAAAGTGTGTTAAACAAAATAATGTCCTAGAGAAATATAAGTGGATAATTAATTGATTCAAATTAAATATCAAGCAATTTAAACGTTGTACCTGTTTTTTTAGAAGCGCCGCCAGCTGCGCCAGCTGCACCACCTGCATCAACTACTACAATCACTATTACAGTCACTTTGACAAATACATACACCCCCGCCGCTATTACAATAACTCAGACATACACCCCCGCCGCTATTACAGTAACTCAGACATACACCCCGCCAGCAAATGCGCTTCCTTCTAGTGCCCCTTCCGCCCCTCTTGCAGAACCACAATCATCCTCATCTAATATTGGAATTTATATTGGTGTTGCTATAGGTGGTATTGTAGTTGGCTTTATCTTTGCTTTTGTTGGATATCGTGTATATAAAATACACCAAAATTCAAAATTTATCCCAACGCCTAGTAGCGCTGATCACAATTAGTGTTGTGCAAATTCTGATTTTTTCAAGTTTCATGCGCATGGGAATTTTTCGGAATTTCTTATTAGCTTTCGGAATGTTTCGGGATCTATAAAAATTTTGCTGGCATTATAAGCATTATATGTAATATATTGCGCAGGATTCCATAATTTCATTCGCATCAAGCGCATGATTATGCGCATCATGCGCATGATTAAGCGCATCATGCGCATGATTATGCGCAAGATCATGCGCATGTCATGCGCATTGCACAACACTAATCACAATATGCCATATTAATAAAAAAATAAACGTTAAGATTTTTATTTCATTTTACTTTTGCTTTTTTTTAAAGTTCTTAACTATTTTATTTTTGATCCTTTATGTATCTTTAAATCCATAAAAAATAATATATGTACTTTTTTAATCTGTAATTAAAATTAGAAAAAAATTGCACATGATGCTTAAACGAAGAATATAAAAATTTAGTAGCTACTTCGCTTACGACTATGCGTATATTATTCTCATGTTTTAATTTCCATATTGTCACGTGGTAAAGTTACATTTTCTGAAGAATATATACAATTTATTCAATCATCTAAATTCTTTATCTTATTTTATGAGTTTGAATTTTTATTAAGTTTTTTCCTAATATAAAATTTGTAAAACCTGGAACTGGAGGTTAAAGCAAATATGCGAATAATTATTTGATCTTACAAGAATCGAAGCGAGCCATAAAGATATTTAAAAATATATTGTAATCATGAATTTGCAAGCTTTACTGACTTGACTCCTACATATTTGCCGATTTCATTTTCTAGAAAGAATCAAACACACTTTCATTCACTAAACCTTTATCATAATAATTCTTTCAATTCATGTTAATTCCTAGTGTCACGGAGTTTATCGGACTACCGTGTACTTCTTTGACTTTATTATCAGTCTTTAGTCGCTTGACTAATAAACGATGACTGAAGTATCATACCAGATACTACCACCGATAATGTATTCACACAGATTAAACAGTTTATTCACTAAGAAAAATTCAAAGAGATACTGGGAACCAAAGTTCTGGTACCTCCCCCTTTAGGATCGATACCTTAAATATATTAATTACTAATACACATTTGCGTCACTGATTATTACAGACTTTCTCATCGTTCATGCATCAATGTTTAGACTTCTAATTAAATCATGATCACCCGATATATTATGCATTAATTAGATCACGACGTTCGTTCACAACGTACCAGATCACTAGTCACATGGGTATCGCACAGTACACCTATCGCCTCTATCTAATTTACTATCTAATACTTTATAAGCCAACTATTCACATTTCAATTTTAAATTATGATTTATCTACTTATAATAATACTAAACATATCTAAGCCTTAATATCCCTAAAACTTACACAATAATAACAACTCTCGCTTTTCTCCGTACAATATTTTACTTATAACTTTGTCTTGAAAAACACATTGGATTAATGCGACGGTCCCACTTGTTGAGTAATACAATATAAATATATAATAATAAAATTATCGTACATCACTGTACAGTACATTTTTACCAATCATTTAGTTAATTTGAAAATAAGGTATATTTTTAATTTATTTCAATTACCAGTTTTATGTTTCAGGATAGAAATTCAATTGGCTATGTAGATCATGTCAGTTAATAAACTTATAAATTATTGTTCAACCATATTTATCCCTTTTAAAGAATGATTCGAATATTTTTTGTGTAAAAAACGACATTACGCCTTTTTCGATTTGTATGGCATGCATACCCCTTTGTAAATTTGCCATTCCGAGATTATTGTAATACAAAATGCATTAAAAAAAGGGGCAGTTACGTTAAGTGATTTTCGAGCTTACATCAGTTTCGTGTAATATCATGTACATACGTACGTACAGTACATCAATTTTTTGACATCCGTTTTTGGAGGCGCAGCAATTTTATTGCCTAATATACGTGATGTTACACAAAACATTCCCTTTTTAAAATATACCCATTCTGGGCTTTATCAATATGAAGATATAGCAAACTGGGATTTAAAAATGTTATTCATTTAATCTTTTATTTCTTAATTTCATTAATTTTTGGTTGTGATAATTATAATAGTAGGTGCAATTGAAAAAGTACAATAGCGTGCCATAGAAATTTATCAATCTCGTAATACAACGCTAGGAAAAACTATTTCTTCATATTTATATAAAATTAGTTAGTCTAAAAATAAAGTTCTCGTTGTCCTGCATGTTATATCTAGATAAGATTAGAATTGATAATTAGTAATTTATTAATTGAAATATTTGAAGTAAATTACAGAACTATATTTATTGTTTATCGCTATTGAAATTGATTAACTGATGAGTATAACGATCTGATTCTTATAATGATTTGCTGAAAAATTGGCGTTTTGTACAAATAGTTGATTTTAAATTTTAGCTTTATCTGAACTTAAGTTGTAGGGTTCTAGCAGCGTCTTACTCACATTTATATTTTATATTTACTGTAAATAACATTTGACCGATTGACCAATACTAAACTCTTTGGCCGACTGTTCAAATTGATCAGACTGGTCTGGTTTAACTTGATCATTAATCGGTCTATGTCAACCCTGCTGTTGCAGTATTACATGATAAATAATAATTGTCTAGGCCATTTTGAATATTACCAAAAAAAATAATAAAAAAACTCTTTATATATAATAAAATAATTTTGTATTAACTTTGATATTATCCTGTAAACATTGTAATTAAATATTTCTATATGAATTTATAGAACTAGTCTAGTATCTATATAAAAAGTTTACTTGAAATTATAAAGCATTAAATTAAATACTTGTCTGTTGTAGGGAGAATGCAAATAAATAATTTTAAAGAACAAAAATTAAATAAAAATTATACTTTAACTATATCTATTAACAATAATATTATTTATCTTATTTTTCATTTTCACACTCACGTCAATTTTCATCTTTTACTTTACGTGATTTTATCTTACCCGAATAAATGACTTTAGGAGGAGTATCAGTTTGATTTGCATCAACAAAATCGAAATATAAAGTTTTTCCATTAGATGGGATTTTAACAGATAAGAAACCAAAAGTGTAAGGAGAAGTCCAATTTGGATTTAAACATCCGATACCAAGTGCAGCACCACCAGCACCAGAACCAAAATAAGTGACAGGAGAAGTTGCATTATCAGTCGATAAGGAAAGATCATGTGCATGACCGTTAAAATAGGCTGATACATTATACTTGGTTAGGATTGGTGGAATTTCATACATTAAATAATAGGCATCATTTTTAATTCGACAATCGCCAATAAGTGGATGATGACCGACAACGAAAATCCAATCAGTATCCTGTACATTTTTCAACTGATCTTCGAGCCATTTTAATCTCCCATCAAGTTGTTCAGGTGTGTATAAATTAGAATCATTAAGAGTTTGTTTTAAATTATTTGTATGATTATAACTTGTATAGTTATAATAATACGGATTTGTGTCTATGTGAATAAAGGCTGCGCATATCCCTTCACCAAATTTAACTTTTCGAACGTAATAAAGTGAGGGAAAGAAGAATCTCGAGTCAACATCCCAGAAATAGTCAACTTCAGCAGTGACATTATTATACCAATCATGATTTCCTGCTACGGTAAACCATTTTATGTCTTTCAATCTGCCTCCGTATACATCTAACCAATAGGATTTCCATTTGTGATCAGTTTCATTTGATACACCTTCATGATCAATTGGATCAGTAACTGTTTTAGCAGTAGTAGTACTTGTTTGATAAAAATTGTCTAGTAGAAGATAAAGAATCATTTATTAAATTTTAATAAGTAAAATTCAGACAAATAAAATACAAACATATAATTTCTTTTTTAAGCAAACAAGTAAAGTGTATGCATGTAATTGCTTACCTCCAACATTTATTACAAAAGAAGTTTTATTACGATCTGCCCAAGTTTTCATAGCAGCTGCTACTTGAGGTTGACCGGTACCATTTCCTCTCTGTCCCCAATCACCCAAAACCAAAAATCTAAGTCCACCCACATATTTTTCTTTGAAAACAGTTGGATATGGATCACTGACGCTACCATTCGGCCTTTTGTAAATATGTGAACCCTTTTTACTGTAATAATCCTTTTTACCAGAGATCAATATGACCCCTTCAATAAGAACTAAGAAAAATAAAAGAAATTTCATTTCATTTAGAAGTATCAAATCCCAGATTTCGTTTTTTTTTTTTTTCCCTACTGCATAAGTTATATGATAGTGAAATTATTGTTACTACGTATTATTTTGTATGACAAATTATATTCGAATAACTCCATATACGTATAGTTCAATAATATAATTTTAAAAAAAGCTAATTGGAAATATGTAGTATTACGTACGTACAAATATTTTAATGGTACGATATAAGCCAATACGCCCTTTTATTTTAAATTATATTTATATGGTAATTACACAATGCAAAATGTATATGAATATAAATAATGCAAAATAGTTTTACAAATTTAACAAAGATTAACAAAACATTGTGTTTAATTAAAAAATTTACATTAAATCTATAAGAAGATCCGAAGTACGCATGTGTAACTGGAAAAATCATTATTCTTCACATTATAAGTAAGCTATTTCTTTCACATGATGACACTGATGACGATCATTATTTATCTTTAAATGCTGTACTGCAGTAATGAACCACTACAGTTATGAAATTGAAATTCGTGTAAATCAAATTTAATATTAAATCTTAAATTGAACCAATCTTAATTATCAGACAAAATGTGTACGATAAACATTTAATTAACGGGAGTAACTGGAATTGGTTTAGAAACCATGTGTATAAATAAATAAAATCTAATTATTAATGCATCTTTAACTAAAATCTTTAATTAAATAGCACGTCTATGTTCATGGTTTCTTATAAATATGGGCTCTCATTCCTTTTATTCAAAAAATCAATTGGCGTTAATGTTAAAAAGCCTTGCCTACTTGAACTAAGAAAAAATATTAATAAAAAAACAAATAAAATTATTAAATTTTCACACTCCTAATACAAAAATGAAAATCACTAAAAGTACAATTATTTTCCTCTTATGCATCCTTATCGCCTCTGGCGTTATTGCCCAAGCACCATCAGGAGCACCGTAAGTGTTTAAAGTTTGTGACTTAGAAACTCAATTTTTTTTCCCAAATATGTTTCTTACGTTTTTTATAATTCCACAGTTCAGGTGCTAAGGCTCCTCCTACTGGTGTCTCTGGCGCTGGTCCTAGTGCTGCTCCCGCTGGTGCCGCTCCCAGTGCCGCTCCCAGTAGTGCTCCCGCTGGTGCCGCTCCCAGTGGTGCTTCCGCTGGTGCCGCTCCCAGTGGTGCTCCCGCTGGTGGTGCTCCCCCTGGTAACTCTACCAGTGGTGGACCTGGTGGATCCCCTAAGGGTCCTGCTCCATCGTAAGTATTTTAAAACTTTTCGTTAATTATTTATAATAATTGACTATATCTAATTTTTCTTTCTCTTTTTTTTAAAAAAAAAAGTGGTGGTGCTGGAGGTTCACCAACTTCTTCATCTGCATCAGCCACCGCTACCAAATCAGCTGCTGCTTCAAACGTTCGCGTTGGAAACTTTGAAATGGTCATTGTTTCTTTCATTGCTTTATTCGTTGGTTTATTATATTAAGCCTGGATATAATTTTAATTTATTAAATTTCACCTCATTCAATCATATACATGTTCACAACATAAAAGATGCTTATAATATTTACTTATTTATATTATAGAATAATAATGTAATAATAAATAATGTTGCTATGCTAATAATAATTGCTATATGTCCTATTTGTAACTAGCAAAACTTATTTTATATTTGAAATAAACCTTTTAGAATCCATTCATTCTAATCTTTGTAGTCATATTTTGATCATTTAAAGTATTGCTTTAATTGACAGAATGTTGGTTTAACATCTACAAATTACATAATTTTAGTAATAAACTGACCATAACAGGATTAATTAATATTTAGGTTATTTAAGCTGTTCGTAGTTTGTTGGTTTAGCAGGTTCTTTGACTTAAATTATTATTACGATTTATATTTATCAATCAAATCATTCTATAGAACATGAAGGGAGACACTTGAAAACAGAATAATAATCTTTATTGTAAAATTTTATTGCATGTCACGTAAAAATTTGTAAATTATATTTGTCTTTTAATTATAACTTTGTTAAACCGATGATCGATACATGACCGAACCTTCTCCCACAACGGACATAGTGATGAGTAACGATCTTTAAAAAATCCGGATTTTCTATTAACCATTGATGCAGCTTAGCATAATTTTAATTTATGTTTAATTAAAGTCTTTGTCACAAGATCAATGCATTACATATGTATACGTTCGTACAAATATGGTATAGTAAGTAAGGCATAGTGAAATTAATAAATACTTTTTTTTTCTTATAACAACTATTAAATTTATACTTGATGTATGAAGGTTTTACAATAAAACTAACTGACCAAAGAAAATATATTAATCTTACGGATCTTTTGAAGAAATTATTTTAAAAAAAGCCTTTGTCACAAACTTATATGTATTACATGACTAGGGCATGCCAAATGACCAAATGTCATGCTCGTACCTCTGTGCCTCGAACCCTAATCATATCGTGCAAGTTGATTGAACTGGTTCCACATTGAAACGTTTAATAATTAATCTGTAGCTTATTGGGTTTATATAGGTTACGTATATAATATTGGGCAGACGATGAAAAATTTTTTCATCAGAGTTAATGTTATACGTAACCACATGTATTAACTTTAATGAAAAAAGAAATTTATGTTACTTATATGGCTTAGAATACATAAGTATTGTATACTTAATATGGTTATCAGATAATTTATATGATTGCGAAGTTTTTTCCGTGTATTTTGCACAAATGAGTACACAATGCCGTGTCCAAAATAAACTCAAAAATGTGGATTCGGATGATGTACGTACATACGTACGTATAGAAAATGAGTCTTAAATTTTTTTACTAAATTTAATTTTCAATTATATCGGCATCACCTGATGTCCCAAAGAAAATGTCGTAAAAATATTGTTTTTGATCCACCTGACCCATTTTTTTGACCCACCCTAAAAATAAAAAAATTCATATCATTATTGACCCATGATAGGTAATATTATAACGATAATCATATTCTTTATTGCTGATTGCCACATTAGTCACGTCGTACATTACAAATTTGAGCCGTTAAAAGAAAACCTGTCATCGGACTTTTAATTATGTGTTGTAAACAATTAGTCATTTATGGAAAATTTATAATGATGATATATTTTCCGTTGATGGCTAACTGTGCACAAAATATAAATAAAAAATCCGATGACAGGTTTCTTTTGACGGCACTCACATGTTCATTTGACAAGTTATATATAAAGATAATATAAACAAACAATTGTTTACAATGAGGTTATAAATTAATTCGTGATCCGCCAGAGAACCAGTGAAAAAGCATAGGGAAATTTACTATTGTTTTTTGCCTTTTTAGAATCTGGAGTTTCCCAAAGGATAAATCGATTTTTACTAATCAACCCTCTCTTCAACCTCTAACAAAAGTTGTAGAGAGAGAATTTCGATAATTGTAGTTTAAACGTTAAAATCAGCCTAGTGGATTGTGAGAAATGGGCATTTCTGTCTTCACGACTTCTTTGTGTAAACAAAGAAGTAAACATATAGTCGCGAAAACAAAAAATGACCATATCTCACGATCCACTGGACCGGTTTTAACGTTTCAACTTCCATTATTCTCGAAATTCTCTTCTCTACAACTTTAATTAGAAGTTAAAGAGAGGGTAGCTTATTAAAAAAATCGGATTATCCTTCGGGAAACACCAAATACCAAAAAAGGCATAATTTACATAGTAAACATATCCCCAAAGTTTACATGTTTTTTCACTGGTTCTCTGGCAGCTCACGAAGTTTTTAATTAATTTACTAATTACTAATTACAATTGAGTTGTCTGTTATTTTTTGGTTAAATGACAGTTTTTTAGTTTATTCTGTATTTCAGGGTTGGGCAATCTATATATCCAATGCTTTTTTACTGGACACTGGACATTTCCGAATTGTCCAAAGTATATTGTATGTCCAGTGATATAGTTGTAATAGTTATAACAGGGTTGTGAATAGACAATGGACAAGTCAATAGACACAATAGACAAATTATATAGTAATAATAATTTATTTTTGTAATTATATCCTGAATAATACTGCAATAGTAACACATTCAAAATTAAGATTTTACTTGAATATATATCCAGTATGCTTGGGGTGTTTGTCTGTAAAAAAATTTATATAAAATTGTTCTTGCCAACTAACAGATCTTAATAACAAACATAAAGAGTACTAAATATAAGCTATTATAATAAATATATTACATGAATAGGTGCTAATAAAAAATGTTTAATATAGACAAGAATTTAAAAACTAGACTAAAAAATTTCAACTCAATCGAAATTGCATTGAAAATTATAATTAAAAATTGTAGTAAATTTTATAAAGTATTTTAATATAAATAATAATAGATTTTTAAAATAAAACCAAAAAAGCAAATTATAGTAAATCATTAAACCTTTAGCTTGTTTATCTATAATAAACATCTTAAAAATATCTAGCTTGTCTAAAGTAACAATTATCAAATCTAAAATAACCTATCAAAAGTGCAAGCTAAGATAATGATATCAATATATACTATATTTATTATTAGCAAGATACGTAATGTATAATGTAATTGTTTATTATTAAAATAAAAAACTTAACAAAATAGCTAATATTTAATAAACTACTCAGAATCAATAAAGACTACACAAGTATTAATTGTTTTATTTTAATTATTAAATATAACTACAGTGATAGTAATTATTGAAGGTTTACTTTTTTGCATTTTTTTTATTTGTAGTAAACATCACAAGATTAATTAGAAGTACTTTCTCTTATACGTATATAATCTAACCCAGAAAGATTTAATTTTTTGTTTGATATATTTTGTTTAGCAAATAAATATGATTATGATGTATATTAATTTTATGTATATTTTTTTAAACAAAAAAATACTGGTTTATTTTATTTATTTTTTCTGTCTTTTATATTAAATTTAATTACACTATATATTATACTTTTTATTTTAATTAATTAATAATCATGCTATATTGATGTCTAACTTTTTGGATTGTTAAACAATTCTAAACTTAATGCAAGAACTATTCTTAGTAGTAAAGTTTTTAGCATTAAGAATTTATTAGTGCTGATTATGATATTTTTCTTATATAATCAATCAATAGAACTAATAGACCAATAGACATATTGTTTAATAAAAATTTTATTTAAATAGACATGTCTATTCTCAACCAAGTCGAATAGACATTAGACAATTAGACCATTGGGCAATTAGACTATTAGGCAATTAGACAATCCAATTTTTAATTGAGCTATGTCTATTCACATCCCTGGTTATAAAATAGTGTTATTAAAATTAAGCATAGTGGAAGTTCATTTTAATTGGTTAAATTAAGAATAAATTTGATTGGTGAAGATCTTTTTTTTATATTATCAATTGTAATTTTTAAAGTACCTTTAATAAGTAAAGATAGTCACGACATATAAAATTTTTTTTCTGCAATACGTAA